CGAGATTAAAGGAAACTGTATTCCGTTCTGAGGTTAAAAGGGCTTTCCGTACATCAGTTAGTGATTGCGGATGAGGTCGAAAAAAGCCATAATGTGTTGTTGTGGTCAGTCCACCATCCTGAGTGTAAATCGATCGCCCCTTCATTCTGAAAATTAACCCCGCTCTGATATATGGCGACTTCATTTTGCAGAGCTGTACAAATCAAGAGAATTGCAAATTTGGCCTGATCGGTAGTAGGTAGTAGGTTAACTAATTAGCCACAGCTGTTGTGTTAACGAGAGAAAACTACGCAAAGTCTTCATTTTATGAATTCCCTTGAAGAGCTACCACCCTCTGGAAATCCGAAAGAATTTGTACGGTGACAAGTTTGACGACATTTCGGGAGTAATTTCCGTGAATTCCCCGGTTAATCAGTTGTCTCCGGTTACTCAATAATTGTGTACAAAATAACCAAGACTTGGGAACATCCTGTACCTTAATACATGTTATATGTTAGATAAGCTTGTAAGCAGGAATAGCTCGGTAATTAGCTAAATTATCTCTATTCTTTCCCGCCTGAATGAGAGGTTCAAGTTTATACGAGATAAGGAATCTTATGACGAGGTCTTAAATGCGTCAGCGATCATTTTATGCTTTCATAACGGTTTAAAACAAGAATCAAATAAAAGATTAGCCATTGCTATCGTTTGCGTAAATGAGAATTGTGTACCCTTTGTTCGATGGCAATAAAGAGCGCATCTCGTGCCAAAAGCAAGCGCGTTTTGAGTGACATGTCTCTCGACCACCCGGGGTGTTTGTTTGGTTCGAGCTCTCAAAAGTAATATAGGGGCGCTTGTGTCGTACTAATTTGACAAATAGCCCCATTTCGTTAGTTATCTGTTCATCAAATCGACACGTTTCTAAAGAACAGGCGAGGAAGGTGTCAACCGAACGATTACTGGTTCCCAAAGTCCATGCTTGATAACAGCATTGGCAAATATTGTAATCGTTTTGGCAGAATTGCCTCACGTCAGTAAGTACGTAAAGCTTTCATCGCCAGTGCAGGGGTCACAAATTTTTTATACATCGTTTCGGAAATCAATAAGAGCAAGGATGGGGGGTTTACTAAGGGCAAACGGCTAATTCAAGATCCACGTGAGAACTATGCTGTGTTGATCCTTCATAACTTTCAGCACAAAGTAGGAAGCGAGGCCATTGACTGCCGGAATCTTGCGCCAGATAAGTTTGTACAGAATTTGCGATTGGCAAATAAATCTCGCTGTGGAATCCACTCATGGTAAAACCATTTTAGAACGCCGTGAGCTGAGATGCAGGCTGAGAACGGTAAGTAAATGCGATCTTGCTAATACGCTTGTCAGCACAACTGTGATCTCGAAAATTCCGCATTTCCAAAATGTTGTGATTAGTTTATGCCGTATTGTACGCCAAATCCAAACACGGCCTTTTCTCCTCCGATAAAAGCCGCAACTGAAGTTACCTTACCGAAGGCCAAGAGAAGGCGAGGGAAACTTATGATTTTATCGTTTCTCTTTTAACCCCAAATTATAATATGAATGGCCCGCAATAAGTGATTAATTGTGTGTTTTGACATCATCTGCATAACTGTGAATCTTTTCTTTTCTTTTATTAACAGGACACATTGCTTCCTAACACCGCCAGACCATAAAAGACCTATGATTGATTAGGTGACGGGAAGGGAATCGTGTAGCAAATTGGCTGTGCGCGTTTGGGAGCGCGTCGCAATCCTGACAGGATTTTAAACAGACGACACGAGCACCTAAAGTAGAGATTATACAACGCAGTCTGAGCCAAATCTCCTCTGATTGAGAGTGTTTATCGTATTATCATCAACAACTTAGTACTAGACGTCGGCCAAGAATTCCTACGACGGGTATTTCCGTTTCTTGAAAGTTTAGTGGAAGTCAAGAACTGCTTTTTTTTCTCTCGTGCCAAAGCCCTGAATAAGTTAACAATGGAGCCGCAGTGTTTTATATCTGTGTTTAATTTTATTGTGTTATTTATATTGGTTCCGAACCTTTATCGCCAAAGTTTCTCGACAGTGACAGCTTCGTCCGCTCGCACTGACTGTTATGATGATTACGGACGGCCACAGAGATGTTTGCCAGAATTTCACAATTTGGCGTATGGGAAACGGATCTACGCAAGCCACTCATGCGGTAAACCTCCGCGAAAATTCTGCAAGTGGCAGCTCAGAGGACACACTTGTCATGTATGCGACTCGAGGGTTCCAAGCAAAACTTATCCCGTCAAATACCTGACTGATCTACACAACCAAAACAACGTGACATGCTGGCAAGCGGATCCCAAGCAATCCCGAGAGAACGTTACTCTAATCCTCTCGCTTGGAAAAACCTATGATATTACGTACATCAGCTTGCAGTTTTGCGGGCCGAGGCCCGAGTCTATGGCCATATACAAATCCCTGGACTTTGGCAAGAGTTGGAGGCCGTATCAGTTCTATTCAGGCTCATGCAGCAGGGTCTACGGAAGACCAAAGAAAGCATTCGCTAGCAGAGAAAATGAACAGGAAGCGCTTTGCACCGATGCGCATCTCATAAAGCCTCTTCAAGGAGGCAGAATTGCGTTCAGCACCCTAGAGGGTAGACCCTCGGCGAGTGATTTCGAATCCAGCTTTGTTCTTCAAGAGTGGGTCAGTGCGACTGACATCAAAATCGTCTTCAACCGCATCAGCGCGGTCAGCAAGAAGCAAGAGTATAAATACTACGCCGTGTCGGACTTGGCTGTCGGTGGACGTTGCCGTTGCAATGGACATGCAGGCAGGTGCCCGATCAGCCGTGACGGGAACCCAGTATGTGAGTGTAAGCACCACACTGCTGGTAACAACTGTGAGCAATGCAAGGCATTTTTTAATGATCGACCGTGGAGGCCTGCTACCGAGACCTCGGCAAATGAATGCGTAGGTAAGAAGGGTTGTTAAATCATTTTTTTCAGGGTAGTTTTACGATATAATGTCGAGTCTTTTTGCACCAATAAATCTCAGCGTGTGTCGTGTAGCGATTGAGATTGTTTACGTGATGGCGTATTGTTCCATTGAGAGTGTTTGCGTTTGCTAATTTGCCCTCTTATGCGTAGACTTGTAATAACTGTCATCGGCGCACATTTAGTCGCATTTAGGGCTAATTAGCGTTTGCAAAGCAACGCTTACCTGGGCTTGAAAAAGAAAGTGTTATAAAATGTGTCTTGCGGTTTGAGGTTTGGAATTTATTTTTCCAAATACGGTACGTAAAGACTACTGATTTAGAGTTTTAGCACTCGGCCACCGAAAAACGTGCGGCATCCTTAAGAGATACAAAGGATCAAGTAAGGTCCCAGAATGTCTGATGTCGAGTTAGTGGACAATAAATGAGGTGTTACCTCCTAAAGACTGCTTTTTTCCTGTCTATTAACAGCCGGGCTTTGACGTATTACGATTGTCTTACCAAACTGGTACGTGTAATAACGCACAAAACAGCCGTTGACCCAGCTTCGGTGTATTAAGTATACCCTTCTCCTTGCGGAGCTAACCAAAACGACCAGCTCCTTCAGCCTTCTATCCACAGTAAGTCAAGTGTACGTATCACGGCAATAAAGGAAGTTATCTGACAATAGATATTTTGATAGATGATCATTCTTCGATTGAGTTCAGGTTTTACTTAATAACAAAACAGTATAGAGATCAGTTCAGAAAATTTGCCTGTTAAACGCCCCAGGGTTGAAAGAGTAACTGCGTTCTTTTATTGCACTGCTCAATTAAAGATCTTCGCAAGATGTAATTTAAAAACAAAATGGTTTTTTTAAGATTATACGTTCTTGACTATCGGGTTTGCCTTTTGCACTGTTTAGAGACTTGTATTCCGTGTTGAAAATGCTGGTAAAATCTTAGGACTGTCCATTTTAAGTGGGATTATGAAACGCGGATTTGTAAAAAATGCGAAGAATTTATCAAGTTTCCGCGAACTCAAAATTGATATCACAAAAAGATAATTTATAAAGGCCTGTGTTTTGATGCGTCTTGATGGCGACAAGAAAATCACTCTTCACAACGCCGAGAACAAAGGATGAATAAAGAAGAAAATATTTGTATAAGCATAGCTTAAGAGCTTGACTCCATTGAGACGACGAAATAGTTTCTATAATTGAGACTAATTAAGGAAAATTCTATGATCGTCCGACAGAGCGAACTATTTTTACAGAAGGTCTTGTTATTCATTACCCATGCAAAGCTGACAATATAGACACGATTTTTTATTACACTTGACTATTCTGATAACGACAGCTCATTTATCTTTGGACGAGTAGAAGCTTCTAGAGATGGGTACATATTTATATTTATTTCTATTCCAGAATGATTTATTTACATGTTTTAAAGAAATTTCACTTTAAAATTAGAAAGAAACGATGGTACTTGCATTAAACCTTGAGAACTTCAGTCAGCATACGACCCTGTACGTTTCGCAGCCGGAATGATACATATATGTATATTATACCTGATACAAATTCTGTTGATTGTTAAAAAATGAAATAAACGGTTATTTAAAGCACGATTTGCGTGCCTTAAACTTTAACCTTTAATTAAGGCATACAGTTCCAAGGACAGACTAGTTCTTGTCTTATTAAAGCTTGAGTTTTGACTGAACAAATGAAAATGTATTTCTATTGTAGTACAAAACAATTTGTTGAACATTTGGCGCTTTCGGAAAGCGAACAGAAATAAAACAGTCAATAGTCTCTGAACCTTATGTGCATTCATTTTCACTAGAATGTTAACTCCATGGTTGGAAAGATCATTACCGGAATAAACCAGTGTTACAAAATCCACAGTTCTAAGCCAGAATTAAGTGACCGAGATTTCAGCTTGTCTATTCCACAACATGACAAAGTATATTAGCTTTACTAAGATTAATAACCCGAAGTTATCACTTCCACAATGGCAAACTAAAACAAATCTTCATGAAAACTTTCTGTTTGCAGTGCACACGGATAAGCGAATATTAGAAGCCCCCACAACACCGCCGGCTCATTCGTACACCGAAAACACATAATTTCTCACAAAGTAAAGAAAGCTACTGATTTTAAGTTTCATTTTACAACACTTTTCTCTCTCTAACAAGAAAAAAGAAATTTGGACCCACGTTATGGCAGGTACGTATTTGTGTTGTACAAGTAGTATCCAAAATGGCAGACACGGGTACTTTTGTACACTGCTTTAAAGTTGCTACGTTTGCGATATAACCGTCTTAAACTTCCGCTAACTTTGACAGGTGTTGACCAAGTTCAGTAGCGACAGGAAATTTGCGGCTCAGTCACTTGTCATTTAAAGGATCTATTTTCGTTCAACAAATCATGATTTGCCGGACTTTGTTGGTGCAGGACGCGCACTAGTCTAATACGAAGCGGCCAGTGATTAATGAAGTGTTACTCTGTCGCAGCGAGTCGGAACAGCCGAAGGTTCTTTCATGCCGGGTAGAAATCATAAATCACCGAAGTGGACAGAAAGCGGCCCACAGACAAACAATAGACTGTAGTCTATTTGTCTCTTGCGTGTGCATTGTTATTCGCGTCCCAGAGAGGTGTCTTGAAAGACATGAACTTTACAAAATGAAATGAAAACGTGTTTTTACTAGAAGACAACACAATCACTGCAAAAATAGATGAAAATATATTTTCGTGATGGTATTTCCTTTAAAGGCCACGTATGGTATAAATCCTAGTGGCAATCACCTCCGTATCCGGCCAAACGGCGTAGTGAAGATGTATACCAGGAAATTAAACATGGCCGTGATAATAATAGGTCATTTAGAAACGGACATTTTCATTTTTAAATCATTTTTCTTGCCGCCAAAAATGCGCCAGAGCATTTCCAGCAGGGCTAATTTTTTCTGTTGTGAAGCTTATTACTGTTTTAAGGTACTACAGGTTTTTTGTTCGTTTGTTTGTTTTTTGTTTTGTTTTGTTTTTAACTGAGAAGCCCAGAAACTGAAACATCCAGCCCTCTAAACCGATGAATTTGTCCGAATAACTCTTCCGCGAAACAGTGAAAGAAAACATGCCACCACAAATTGAGTACAATATTTGAAGCGAAATACTCAGTTTTTGCTGATATCCGACTCTACCATCAATTTTGTTGCTATTTGACGCGTTTTGTGAGTTGTGTAGGACAGAAACCCAGGTAATTTAGATAAGATTTACATCCTGCGCGTAAGTATGCTATATTGCATACGAAATAATCGAGAAAAATAAATGAAAGAAAGAGAGAAGTGACTGACAGCGTTTTCGAAAAGCTCCGTTTTCGTGACGGATTAGTGTGGACGGTAGGCCTAACTCTAGAAATAAAGCTGTGTTTTCAAATTTCTCCGACGTAGTGTGGACTGGGCCTGAAAGTCCTGAAGTGAAGTAAATACATCAAGAAATAAAATTGTATGTAGTAGTTATTTTCAAATACATAACTTGGGATAGAGTATTCTTCAAACAAACATATTTTGGGATTCCAGTTGCATCACAAAAGTCTGAAAACGTCCTCAGGCTCAACCTGCACCAATCATGTTGAGCCAACGAGAAGTGTCAAGAGAGAGAGGTGCAAATATGTACTTTATGCAAGAAAACATGCCTTCGTGTCCAAGCGAACTTTTAAATATAGTGTACTTTATGGGCGTTTCTATGAAGGAATAACTGAAATTATATACAACAAATAGACCAGGTTATAAATCTCTAACACTGTATTTATCTTGTTTCTCGTGAAGTCCACTGATTCAGAACGCTGTTGCCTTTTTCCTTGTTTAGCTTGTAACTGTAACTTGCATGCAAAAGCATGCGTGTTCAATATGGAGCTGTTTAAACTGTCTGGAGGCGACAGTGGAGGGGTCTGTATTCACTGCAGACACAACACGGCGGGAAGATTCTGCCATTACTGCAAAGAAGGCTTTTATAAAGATCCAACAAAGGACATTACTAACAGAAGGGTCTGCAAACGTAAGTAATATTGCTAGATATATCTCGGGCTTGTATTATTGGGTTATTATTCCCCCGATCTAACTTTCAGGTAAACAAAAAATCATTCTCCTTAGCGATTGCCATTAATTTCCTGTAATAGTAGCTAACGCCCCCCTCCCCCCTCCGTGCGCTTCTGTTTGAATTGTTTAGATGTTGCACGCTAACACTAACACAGTTTCTTTACTACTAATGGAATCAATTTATTATATTTCGCCGTACAACGTGCTCACTGCATGTGTTCCCATTCGCTGTTTTTTACAAGATCAAAACATTTCGGCCATGTATGATGGAGTTATGATTGCTTTGCCGCGAAGGATTGCGTGAAGGGCTTACAGAACGTTTGCGTGGGAGGCTATACCCTATACCTCTAATGCCTGTTGAAAAATTATGTAACTTGGCTTTATGATATACAGGGTAGAACAATGGTGACTTGATACTGATTGATGTTCGAGACTCAAGAGTCGTTGTGGTTGATATAACAAACTGGATTAGCACGCGTGCAATGCCATGTTGAAAACAAAATCCACAGTGTGTGGAAATTTCGATCGTTTTTGTTATTTTTCAACGCTTGCTGACTGCCTGTTTCTCGCATGCTGCCACTATTTCTAGTGAACAACGCGTTACCGAATTTCTGAAAATGGTAATAAAGCTTTGTACGTATGTGAGCAGTGGCCGGCTCGTCAGCGCGCAGAATTGTTTCATCGCCCGCACTATCCCTAAATTCTTGGGGGCGAGTATTTGTCGACTCTTTTACTCAAATGGTCGTTTGGTTTAAAAGACGAATGTGACTGAAACTGTAAAGCTCTGCGTTCATTGGATTTAGTACTATAAGAGCTTGTTATTGTCTTTCAGTATTTGCTCTTTAGAAGTTATAGTTCTAATAGATCTAAGCAGGGCCATTCTTACTATCCTCTTAGTGGGAAGAGAGCGTATTAAATCAAATATTTGGAATAAGTGTTGTCAATGAGCGTTTTAGCAGAGAGTGCTGGTAGAATGCGATTTATGCTACTCACATTGTAGACCATTGTAGCTAAAAATCGACAAAAATGTAACTCAGATGACTCTTTAAAGAGCAAATCTGCGGCAATTTTTAATTTTATTTAATTTTAATTTTTTTTTTTTTTCTGGTGTGTTTGTTTTTTTGTTTTCTCTGTTTTTTGGCGCGTTTTCCGCCTGTCGGTCGACTACGTTGACCTGCTCACCGTCTAGCCAAAGTTAAGCAATATGATACATAAAACAAATATTACAGAACATCTGGGTGGTCTGAGTAAAGGCTAGTTTTAATGTTACGGCAGATTGATTTGTTTACCCATTAACTTTAATTTTAAACACGATCATCGAACTCGTCGTTGCCGAGCTAGCTGATACAATCAGTCATCAAACAAATGAAACCAAGTTTCAAAGCAATGAATACCATCATGTGCGGTATCTTTCATAAGGAGTAATGCAATTAACTTTAATTATTGTGAAAACAGACCGAGACGTCGACTATGAAGACCAAGGTATGGGGAACACAAACTAATTAGTACGGTGCTAAGCTAAAAAGAGATAAACTTTTCGTGTTCAATTTGCTATTAGGCACGACCATGGGCTTGTCCCAGCTTGGTACAAAGTGACCGTATCAAAACTAATCCGCTAACAAGATAAATGAAAACAAAATGCGCAGTCGTAAGTACAGCGGAAACCCTCAGGAAATGATTAATCACCTCATCTTTTGTTAAGCTTTGTTTTACTGTGCTTAAGTCCAATTCAGGCAACTATCCAATTATTTTCCTAGTACCCGGTCGAGTGCACAATTTTACTAACAAGTAACAGGACTACTCGCTTGTACAGTTGGGAAACAATTCAAAATTCTCTCGGCTGCCCAAATTGTACAAGAGCTATAACAGGCACGTACAATTTTGGCAGTTGTCAGGAATTTTCTCATCAATTCCCTCAAAGTTACACAGCAAATTTCAAGTACTAATTCCTTGAAGGGGAAAGCACGCAATGTAATCAAAACAATGCTGTATAGCTGAAGGTTTGGTGTCCTCGAACGATAGACTGATGAGCTGAGCTTGTCGACCGCAACGAACTCCTGGCTAAAAGATCGAGTTTCATGAAGTTGGTTCATGTTTCCAGACGAACTGCAGTTAGCATTACAAATCATTTCATTTTTACACTGAGAACATTAAAAATCGTAAATGTTAACATCAATATTTTGACAACAAAACCTATCCAAAGACAGCAAATCCAGTTAATTTCTGCCGGCATACATTCGACCACTCAAGATTAGTGGCATTTAAGCCTTTCAGGACCGCACAAATAGATAAGATTGGGATTAAAAAAAAAAGTGGAATACTCAGAGGATTGTTCTGTGCACTGAAATCAGTATGTTGGGTTACACAGTTGATGAAACAAAGCAATGACTTCCAGGAGTCAATTTCTTGTATCAATGCCCACGCGAAGACTGACAAGATGCAAGAGTCAATTGCATTTGCAGGCAAGTTTTGTACTTAATCAAATCAATCGGGTGACGCCTAGTTTCACCTATCTGTCTCAAAGACAGATTCAACGAATATATACGCTCTGTCGACAAAACTAACATTAAATCCAAACCCAGCACTGATGCCGAACATTTTCTCTCTCATCCTAATCACTGCTACACTGGCATGCAACAAGTCCCGCTTGAACTTATCCACTCCTCGCGTGGCTCAATCAGGATTTAGCGGGGACTTTGGGGTCCCCGACAGTACAAAACAACAAATTAACCTAACACTTAGATAGGCCGATTTTTTAATTTAGCGGGGACTCTGGGGTCCCACTGACGGTATGAATTGATGCCATGAATCGTGAAACTTGTTACCTACGTAGACCCGGCTTATCTTCACTTTATTTAGTTTGTTTTGTTCTTCATTTCCGCCACTCCTTTTAGTTTCGAAATATGTGTTACGACATCCACCATTATATAATATTGTAATTTCATTTTTATAATTTAGTAACATCTAAACCTGAAGAAGGCTGGTCTGGCCAGTCGAAATATTATTTTAAATATACAACGTTGTGTCAGCCTTGCGTTAGTCTTTTACTTCTCATCGTTTTACTTTTCAAGTTTGGCTGATTAGATCTCCTGTGAACGTTCCATCAAGCAGGATCTTTGTTCACGCACGGCTTTTGCAGTTTATTTATACTCTTTATTTTTTATGAGAATATTGTTTTTCCGACCGAGGCTGAATATTTTTATTTTTCTGCCGATTTTAGGCTGAAAATATACTTGTGTATATTCTTATATTACAGCATATAAAATTTCTGTTTTCGAAGGTATTAAGTGTCTGGATGGTATTAAATTAATTTGGAACCAGCCTGCAGGCATCAGAGCATCGACCATACGGCTAGTGTAGTTTTTGTTGCCTTTTGGGTACTTTTACCATATACGGAGAGAAGGAAGGATTTTATACGGTTTATTGAAAAAATATAATTGTATTGTATTTACAAATTTTCAAAATAAAAAATTTGTTCTTTTCAAAATCTTAGCCTCGGGTTTATTCTTAAAATATTCTTAAATTTCGCAAATTTCAGACTCGATATTCTGTTAAAAAAGAAAGATTGTACTGAATTTTTCCCTATAAAACTGTGCTCTACACTCGTATGAAAAAAATAGAAATAAAATTGAGAGTTCGGTCATCTGGAAGCAATGTCTTGCATAAAGCTTCGCGCTCTGAAATCGGTTTACATTATAACGAACAGGCGATCAGTAGAAAATCTACAGGCATAACTCAGAAATTTTAACATTGGCGGCAGATTAAAATCTCAATTAGCTATTTAATCTGGCTTATAAATTAGTTCATGCTCTTTACCAAAGCAACAGGAATGCATTCCAATGTAGTTTTCCCCCAGACTCTTAGAGAGCAAGCCGACTTTTAAGTCACCAAACCCTGTAAGCGGCTATTCAGAAACAAATTTCGGTTTGTTTGTGACAGGAAGAGATCTTAAACAACCAGGAATCAAACGTTTACTAACTTGATATAGGCTGATACCCTAATCAAAGTAAGAAAGAGATGTTTCATATTAGATGCTCAGTCGACAATTTACTTACAAGACTTTTCATTTTACCCACGTCGGACCAAAGAGCTAGAGATGCGTCAAACAGACAACAGATAGACTTCGTTTTTTAATTGACTTTTGTAATTTCCACAACATATATTTTTCTACCTGAATAACATGAAAAACTATTATCGTTCACAACAATTGCAGTATTACAACCTTTCTTTTAAACAGTTTACGAAAGCCGACTGAAATCGTAAAAGCTCAGGTCAGTTTTGCTAAACTGAAGCAGCCAAAGATGTTATTAGCGTCCATATATTGTCACTAAAATCTCATCAAACGTCTCCTTGCCACACCCCTGTGATGGCGACATGTACACCTCATTAACAAGAGAATCAAAGTCATCTAGATGTCATCACTTCATAAGTTAATTTTAGGTCATGGAAAGTCTCCATTAGTAAGAACCTCCTCTTACTGGTGAAAGTGTAATGTTACAGAAATGACACAGTGAAAATGGATAGCGAGAACTTGCACTGGCGCACGCAAAAATAAAGTAAAACTTGTTAAATATTTGGAGCTATTCATATTACGTATAATTACATTATTCTGCGGTTTTAAGTTTACACAGTTAATGGGACATCTCCATTGAAGACTATCAGTTGCCTACATGGACCAACCTTTGCTTATAATGCCATGTGAAATGTTCTGATTTTTAAATCTGTGGATGAAAACCATGTTGAAACTTCAGAGTCTACCAATATTGGCTTTAGTATCTTAAAGAAGCATAGCCTTGAGAGTGGATTTGTTATCTACAGCTCAGGAAAATCAATTTATTGCTGCCGGCGTTCGCTCGCGGAGGGGGGAGGGTACTTCTGTAAATTTCGGGTAGGTGGTCGATCGGTCGGGGACGACCCACATGAAAAGGTCGCGGATGCTCGTCGCCTCGTTTAGGGGTATAAATCAAGGATTCTGGTCTCACCAAGCGTGTTGATGACAAAATGGCTCTATTTTTAGCTGTCAAAGTATCTTTTAGGGTGCACTCGAAGAAATAATAATAAAAACCCTCTTGTTTCCGTTTTTGGGCTCTCGAGTCCGGTTTTCTGGCGCGGGCTTCTTTCCTGGGAAGCGGCTGGTAATTGCCCACATCCAGATTGGTCTCCCATAGGGGTTTAACTCAAAACTCCCGACGAACGGCCTTTTCACATGGGGGTCCTCCCGAGGATCCGATCGAGCTAGAAACACAACTGCCAATATTTACGGTTCTCATTATTTCTTGCAGCATGTAACTGCCACCCGCACGGATCTATGGGAAAGGTTTGCGACCAGAACACGGGACAGTGTCCTTGCAAGGAAGGCGTGACACGGAGACAGTGTGACAACTGTGCTGTGGGATACGAGAACACAAAAAGTCCCATTGCTCCTTGCATCAGTGAGTATTTACTTCTGAAACCACTCTACAACGTAGGTCATTTGCCATTAGAGTCATAGCAGTATATGGCTTTTATTTTTTACATTTTAGCTTTGTTTAATCGATTTTATGTCGACTTATTTGTATTTTAGCTAATTTGTTAGATATCTTAGGTATTCCCTATTAGCAGGGGGATTCTCCTCCGCTAGTTTTCTGGACACCTTAATTAAGTCATTATTATTATCAACTAACCCTGTTAAACTAAGACCAAGAGACAGCTCACTAGTATGAAATCTTTACTTTGCGTGGTTTAAAAGACGTAGAAAAAAACCTCTATGCGCACGAAGGCCAGCTCCGAATAATAGTTTATTGATAGCCTGTGTTGCAACGCTTGCTAC